CAAGATTATTTTTCAATATTAATAATAGATGTGTAAACACTTTTTAATTCAAATTGATTTAGGTTTACATACCCATGTGTCAGTCATAGATTATAATATTTTATATTTATCTAATAAGCGTTTGTGTTCTCTTAATCTTCTCACAAAACAATTTTAAACTTCGATAATCTTTTCGACGAATTTTATTTCAACTTTTTCATTATAAAATAACATCAATTATTCTCTTATTCAATATGTGAGATAGATTATGACGATTTAGTTGTAGTATTTTCATTTGTTTCCTGCAAATTGCAAGTTAAAGTTTTGTACATCTTTCAGTTCTTGCAAAATTTAGGAATCAATTATGTGAAAAAATCTTATTGAAATTTACAATTTTAGTTTGCAACTAAAAATATGAGTAATTCGTCAAAATTTTGGAAAAATAGTTATATATGTAAATATATAAAAAGAACCTAATTCAATTAGGAATAGAAAAAACATAATTATTTGAAAATATTTGACAAATTTAAATTGAAAAAATAATATACTAAAAAAGTCAAAACAAGTTAATAACGGTGAGACTTCTCTATTAGTGGTTTTGCACTTTTCTGTTTTTTTTTCTTTTCGAAGATTATAAAAATTTATAAAACTGAAAAAATCAAATAGGAAAGTGAGGAATTAATTCAAATTTTTATTAAAAAAAAATAGAGTAATGAAGTAATAAAAACTAAATTATTTCATACATGAATAGAAAAAACTAATTACGTGATAAAATTTAAGAATTATTTGGAAATCATATAAGATAAACAACCAAGAAAAATAACTATTAAATTCATTTATATCAGCATTTTTGGTTTTATTTTATTTATTTTCATGGGTGATTTATTCACTTTTTTTTATCTTTTTGAATTTGATTTTTTCATGACTTATAAAATATTTTATCACATATTATAAAATATTTTATCACAAATCCGCATATATACGGGTCCTTCACCTAGTTTCAAATAAAATATAATCTAAATATTTACAACAATAACTTTATATATATATATTTGTACCCTCGTGATCCGGGGGTTCTAGTCTAATTAGGATATTATATTAAAGTAAAATGCATTAAAATATAAATATGAATATTGTGATGTTAATGTTTATAAATATATGAATATTATATAGTTTAGTGTTTTCTTATATACATTTATAATTTATCAACATTATATTATTCATATTCTAGTATTGAAATATTTATTACCATTATAGTATTCATCTATTTATTAACATTATAATTATTAACATTTAGTATTAATAATTCAATTTATAGATAATTCAATTTTGTGCACCAAAAAAAAGATAATCCAATTTTATAAGATTAGTATATTATATAGTTTTATATTTGTAAAACAAAAAGAAAATGCTTTGTAAAGAGACTGTGGTCATACTTTTCTTTTTGGAAAATTACTTGTACAAATATGAATGACTATATCTTATTAATCAACTATAAATTTATTAAAACAGTTTGAAAATTAAATTGGAAGTACATAGTTTACATAAATAATATTATACAGATTAATATAGCAATTCGTGCTAAACTATCGGTCGTGGATTATGAATGCACG